GGCGCTCTAGGAAAAAGTTAGGGCATTCATAAAAAGGAAAAAGCCCGCTAAGATATCCTAGGCAAAAATTAAGGCAGCCCGCTAGACCGAAAACCCCAAAAAAGGGCGGTCTAGGCAAAAGATAGGGCTAAACAAAAAAATATGAATAAAAGAGAGGGGCCCTTCATCATAATTATAAAAAGTCCAGCAGGAGAATGTCAGTCACTTTTCCAGATGCATTGATAAAAAAGAATAGATTGCATTTAGGGCATCCACGCACAAGTAGTTGCACAAAACGACTTTGTCAAGATAAAAATGAAAGAAATAAAAATTACTTTAGATAAAAAAAAAAAAAACAAAAGCATTCATGCATATAAGGAGACTAGCTCCATGTTTGTGATTGAAAACAGGATCACCAAGACCAACTCTCCAAATATTGCCCTCGAGAAAAACAGAGCAAGTCGTTAATAATCAAGTGTCTTAAGCAGAACAAGAGCTTCCAAAGCCAAAAGCTCCAACCATCTTCCTTCTACCCAATAAAAGGAAGGCACAACCATCAAAGAAAGAAAAGTCGATGGAAAGGCTTAGTTATTCCCAAGCGGATCTTTGCTTACTCCAAAAGGCAAAACAAAAACACTCATCACGGCTCAGCATTACCGCTACATGAGTCATCGAGCACACTCACCCAAAGTCTCCTCCACACTCCCCAATGGAGAATAAAGGCTTCAAGAGCCCATCATCATCAATAGTCAAAAGAGTCCAAACCATCAAGGGCTCAACAAAAAGAGAAAAAAGAAGAAAACCCTTGCATCCCTAGCGGATATCCAAAAGAAAAGGTCACAACAGAGAAGTCCGAATAAAAATCTCCAAGTGGATCTCCCTACAAAAATCTACAAAAAGGAAGAATAGGAAATCTCCATCCCCAGTAGAATAAGAGCTTCATAAGGTCAGCTCGCATCAACATTAATCAAGGAGCCAGGACTCCATCCCAGAAAAAATCGGATCCCCAGGGAAGTTGATAATCCCCTGATGGATCACCTGATGAGTCATTATTTTCCTGCATTTTCTTATCTTTATATACTTATCTTAATTGGTGCATTGTGTTTAATTGTCCATTATTAGTGCATTTTCATTGATTGGGCTTCATTGGGCCAATAATTTATATTTTAATCTATTTGATCTAATTTTTACTCATTATTAATTTTAGGACAGTTTAAAGCAATTTTGGACTTGAAAAATTGGGCCAAATGTCATATTTTATTTTATATGGGGTACTGACATTAGTTTATTGTTTTATTTATCATTTTTTCTACATATCTCCAAATAACATGATTCTAAATAATTATAAACTAGACACATTGAGCTTTCCACAGGATCCAAAATCATTCAATTCGGAGCTAAATTGGATTATACATAAATGATCCAAAACGGGTCAAGCGCACCAGGATGGCCCAATGGACATGCTTCAGTAATTTAAGTCTCCTAAATTCATTAGAGCTCCGAAAAGAGTAGAAACAGTGGCGTTTTAAAGCTAGCTCAAAAGACTTTCAAAGGAGACCAAAATCGCTTAATTTGGATAAGTATTGAAAATACTACACGTGTTTGAAGTTCATGGACCTGCATTGAAGCCAATTTATGATGTGTTTCATGGACTAGTTGAGCCCAAACCTCGATTAAGATTAAGGTTAGGGTTATTTATATAAGAGAGGCACATCACACGAAAAAAAGGACATCACACAAGGACTACGCAGCCACCACACTTCCACCTTTCATCTTCTGCAATTTATATTCAAGTTTGTTTACTCTTCTGTCATTATTTTTAAATTCTTGTTTCGATTTTAATTATGTTTCTTCTATTGCGTTTTCAACTTTCCATGGATAGCTAAATCTTTGTATTGATTTTCTGAGAAGAATGCAAGTAGATCTTTGAGGTTTTGTTCTTCAATTTCATTTTGTTTGTTCTCTTAACTCTTCGTCTTCTAATCTCAGTGTTGAATTATAATCTGTTTATGCTTAATAAACGAAACTAATATCACAGTTTGCTTAATTCTGTGTTAGATATGAGATTATGTGATGTATGCAATCCTTAATTGTATAAGGATAATTTGGGGTTAATCTTCGCTTAGTTGGTTAATTTCATGTTGGAATAAGGGTTAAGGAAAATTTGGGATTAATCTTCGCTTAGTTGGTTAATTTCATATTGGAACAAGGGTTAAAGCTAATTTGAGATTAATCTTCGCTTAGTTGATTAATTTTGTATTAGAATATAATTTGGGATTTATCTTCGCTTAGTTGGTAAATTTCGAATTAATTTTGTAATCTAGGATAAGTGACGCTGCATTAGAATCAGAAAATCAATTGCATTTTAATCTATTTTTAATCCGCATTTTTATAATCTGTTTTTGTTCTGTTTCATCTAATATTTTAATTTTGAAAAACTCCCTTTTTTGTTACTGTTCTAAATTTAAAAATTGATAAACTTTGATAGAAATTTGTGGTCTTTGGGAGACGACCTAGGAAAGCTTCCTAGTACTACATTTATTTGTTTTAATTATTTGACCGAGTACGACATCGATCATCACCTAAGAAAATTTTATCCCCTACAGATCCCTAAAAAGAAGAAAAAGCCTGTGTGCATAAAAAGAAACTAAAAAGTAAAAAGGCGCATGCATTATCCCAATAAAAAAGCCAGATTTCAAAATCATGATAAAAAAGAGATAAAACGCGGAAAAAGGCGAAATCAAATAAAAATCCTAACTTTCAGGTAATCAATAAAATCCTTAAATGGGTCACCTCAGAAAAAGGGAAAATCAAGGAATCGGAAATTCCATTCCCCCCAACAG